AGTATACAGCTCTCGGCTGTCTGGATCAAGTTGGCCCTAAAAATACTATTAAACACATAATACTTCAAACTGTTAAGCACTAAGCAAGTCTTTTAAGGCTGCAGTGTTGTGTTTGTCATAGAAAAGTTGAAAAAAATCATTTTAAAAACTCTGCAATTTAAAATAAGATCATCAGTTCATTAAAAACAGTTGAGTTAATTAAGAAACTGCTTTAAATGTTCACAGATCTTCACCAAAAACACAGTCATGGGTAGAAATCTCTTACAACCACATCTGGATGGGAAATGACCCCACATAAAGTCACGACCCAACAGCTGAGGCAGGGCTTTATGAACTTGAATATGCACTTTTGTTTCCTCTGGGGCTCATTAGGTACATGTGACTGAGTTCACATCACTCACAGAGCACTATGACCCAGACACAGTTATATTTCCAGTATCCAACTACTGTCTGTGGACTGTAACACTGAACTGCTCAGCCTTGCGTGGCTCTGACACACTCTCACACACACACACAGGAAGTTACTCAAGCAAACTGTAATTTCATTCAGATGCTCCATCGCTCTCTCTCTCTCTCTCTCTCTCTCTGTGTGTGTGTGTGTGTGTGTGTGTGTGTGTGTGTGTGTGGGGACAGTTGAAACAAGTGGACTGGTTGAAGTATATAGTCGCCATCTAGTGGCTGATGTAACTACTGCCGATTAAGAAATAAGAAGGAAAGTATTTAATACTTTATTATGTAAAGATGGAAAAATAATAATTCAGCAGGACAATTAAAGTCACAAATCCCAGCTCTGCTATGATAAAGGGAAGCCAAATAATATAAGATGCTCAAATCTCAGGAGTAGTAATTTAGTGCTTTAGCACTGTGTGTCTTGAGCATCTTCCAGGCTTTTGCCTTACTTTGGGGTCAAAATGTTATAATTAAGAAAAAAAATGTTTAAAAAAACCCCCAAATAAAACAAAACAAATTAATGTATAAAGGCCAAAAATAAATAAGGAGGTCAGTCTATGTACAAGCAAAGCCTACCCACCAAAAGTTCAGGCTTCAGCTCTAAGGACTCGGTTTCAGATATTTAGTTCTGCTCATCTCCCTGTATGATGTCTTTGACAGCCAAGATTAAAGGGAGAGGGAGGTAAAACAGCTTGTTTCAGAGGACAATCTGAGAAAATGCACCACAGATGGTATGAAAGATGGATGTAGCTCCATCACCTACTGGTTTCACAGGTTCTGGTTTGAATCCTTTGGAATGTTTTGCATGCCCAATCTCTGAGTCCTTGCAGCCTGTCATGGGGCTAACGCAGGGATTCAGAGATTTTCAATTGGACATGCAAACAGTTTGATGCGACAAATCATTAGCCATTGAGTGTTTCATAGCACAGATAATCCTCCATTTTTTAAACATAGTATGACAGAAATTTATATAACAGGCTTAATTTCTCATTCGGGATGAGTTCAAATGAGTAACTGAGCCCATAAACAAACAGAGGTCAAGATAAGATCCACTTTCCCATAGACTTCTATAAGACAGGAAGTCTTTTTGGAACCACAGCTATCACCATCAGGTGGCTTTCAGATAGGATGCAAGTTTTAGACACTTCAGCACTGGTTTAATTTTTCGGACATGGAGGCTGTGCCCATGTTTGTCTTTAGGATCTCCACACAAGAACACCAAGGCATAAGATAAATAAGGATTATTTTGAACTGTTGACCATGTAAAGCTAATCTAGAGTCCAAGAACCAAACCATGGAGCTGGAAATAAGTATAATAGCTCCCTATGAAAGATCCAAACTCTGCTTCTGGTTTGATTTGATTAATTGTACAGATTGTACTAAGATTACATTACAATATTAAAACCAGCACAGTGATGCAGTGTTGGCACCGTCCCCTCTCTCTAGGCTTTCCGGCGTCCTCCGCGCATGTTAGATCTAAATTGGCTGTGGACGTGGGGGTGTGTAGTATAGGGAGTACCCTGCCTCTAGCATCAACTCTATCCCTCCACTCCCTTCAGTTGGATAAGAGGTTAGGAAAACGGATGGATGGAATAAAAAAAAAACCAACAACAACAACCCACACACAGTGGAAGCTGGTGTATTCAACATTTATTGTCTGTCATTTTAAAAACTGTTTGAGGACAATCAAAATATAAATACATTTCTCTCTGTCACTCTCCCTCTCTCTCACATACACACACAAACACACACACGACCCCTGCCCCTGATTATGATGTTAAAAGGTGCAACAAAACAACCATCAACAACTGAGAACAACCGGGATCTTTCAAAATCAACCAGATTTCAGAAGCTTTTACACACAGAGAGATCCTTAGAGTATACAGTCATAACAAGCAGGACCCACCACACCGACATGAGCTTCAGTCACAGATTCACACCATGTTTTGCCGTCCTCCTAAGACCATCATGACTCAATACGTGGAACAGTTAAAACAGAAGGTGGGTATAACTTGAACCATATTTGAGAACAAGTTTAAACTTGGACAGGTTGATGAGATTTGATCAAGTAAGAACTGTGAAGAAGTTATTTGCATAAACAAACATCAATACTGGGAGGAAATCTGGTAATGACTTTGCAACTGACTTTTTTTGGCCAACACTGCATTGACAGAAAACTGAACTTTGAGTTTAGAGGTCCAGTGAGACTTTGAGGGTTTCCAGCTTTCCTTGAACACAGCAGGAGGGAGAGCTTCTGATTCCCAGTTCCAAGCTGCAGAATCTAAAGCTAAAGATACCCAACACTGGACTGAAAGTTGGTCTTCCTCCAAAATTATGAAATAAACTAAAACCTCAGTTCAACTCAAGGCTCAAAAAAGCTCACAGCATGTTCTTGAAATTGTTCATCATTGATGTAAGCCGAGCCTGAAAAGATCGTTTCCAAACCAACGATTTCAAACCCAGATTTCGGTTCAGTCTGATGATCTTCAGAATAAACAACAGGGGCGAAGTTCAAACTGGCAGAAACATCTGGACACCACATGGTGACTCAACATGTGAGTCAGGAACAGTCAGACTCAACCCAACATTTACACGCTCTCTTCTTGTGGTTTGAAGCTGCCTGCTGACCCCTCTCATTTAATGACTGAAGCTTTTGGGTGAGAATAACACTCGGGTCACGGGGATGAGGAGGAATATCGGCATCTAAAGCTACTGGCTGCACCAAATTTTTAACATCCGCATTTCACAAACAAACAATAATTTAACTGCAGTCTAAGTGAGCAGATTTATTTTTAGTTACCCCGTTGTATGAGAGAAATAGACAAACCTCAACAAATCAACCGCTTCCCTCGGTATTCTAATTCAAGAATATCGTTTTTTGTGTTCAAAGTGTTGAACTGTTGGATTCAGCCCCTCTCCTGAGGCAGTGATCAGTGCATCTGCACATATCCCCAAAACAAAAAATGATGGTAAAATCATGGGAAAGATTTCATTTCCAAGTCACATTATGGGAAGAGTCAGGGGTCATTTTGGCCTCTAGGGAGGCAACTTCCTCTATAACCGTAAACGAATTACAACAATTTTCTGTTGACAGTCACTATAAAATGTCATGTGACCAAATCTCACTGTTCAGGTTTAGGGGGAAAAGAAAGCTGAATGACTAAAACGGTCAAGGGAATGCTGAGGAGAGGAGGATACGTAGAGTGCAGTCTGGAAGATGTGTCATTAGAACCACAGACCACCAGTCAGCTATTGTGATTCATCTTTGTATTTTCTTTCCAACCCGGTGAGATGTCATAGTGTCGAGTTCTTACACTAACCTCAGACCAGTAATCCTCAGACTCAGGTGGTGTCCCTATGTGTGTAAACCTGATGAAATTCAGACAGATGGAAACGGTGCAATTTAACAAATATTCCAGCAGTAAATCCGAGGGAGTTTTATTCAATTCCCATTAGTTTTCCCTCCTCGGTTATCAGGTGGGCAGAGAATCAGTCCTGACATCTGTTTTTTAGCCGCCATATGTAGAATTTTTAAATTAATGACTCCTTCAACTTCCAGTAATAGTTTTGAGGCATTAAATGTTATAACTGTTAGCAAGAAAGTAAAAATTTTAATCACGTCTTTGAATTTATTTATTGTTCAGCAATTCAAATAGTTCTAATGCTGTGCCGAAAGAGGGGTGAGTATCTGAGACAGCTGTCTCTGATGGTGGAATAATGATGGAGGACACCGACATGAGGCTATTTTAAGTCAACTCAAAAAAGCAGATTGAAAAATCAGACGTCTTTACATAGTGTCTTTAAATTATGTGGGAGTATTTGTAGTGCTCTGATTTTATCATTTCGTTTTTTCCCAGCTACACTGGCTACACAGCTTTCATTTATACAACACTGAAACATTTCTGTCATCTATTTAGCACGCCTGTGTTTTACTCCACTCAGGTCTTGCTTGGTTTATAACATGGCCAGGGTATTTATACGAGCTCTGATAAAGACCTGCAGGCCACATCGCCAGAATAAATTGGTGAAAATGACATTTTTCATCTTTTCACCGGACATTTTCTTTATGCGCTGTATTTGAACTTTTAGACATTCAACACAGGAACAACACTGAAACTAATATACTGGGAAAGTGCATCTCAGGAATCAACTAGGTGTTAGCGTGAGTCTGGTTTTTTTGGAGGGACAGAGGGGTTAATTAGATTTTAGCAATATTTAAACACTAAATTCATCTTCTCACTTGTACAGAAACAGACATAAAGGGAACATGTGATGAGAATTTGCAAGTCAGGATAAATTTAATATTTTTCTTGTCAATAAATCCCTTTTGAAAAGACCAAAAGCAACAAATGTGTGACTATCTAAATACAAAATACTAAAAAAAAAAACCAACTGCCCAGTTACTTCTTAAAATAGCTGGTTAGTTAGCTTCATTCATTTGATTTACAACTGTTATTCAAAACAGCCAGTTGGCAGCAATGGAGCATGGTTGGTTTAGCTCTTTTTGTGGAACTTGCTGAGAGTAAGAAAGATAAAATAAGACAAACATAACCAAAATAATGAGTTTGTAATCTCAAAAAGTTTGAAGACCAAGACCACGAACTGTATTTTACATGATTGTGACTTTTAAGGCCTACTGGAGCTTCAATTTTATAAACTGTCATCAGTGAGTCCAGGTTACATGAAGTGAATAAGTGATAGATGGCCTGTCTTTCTTATTCCTCTAGACACTGGGGTCAACCACGATTCTCTAACAATCATTCGGTGTAGTGATCTGACAGTGGACCGGTGCGCAGGTCCTTTTTCCCCCCGGAGGCTGGGTGTGCATCTGCTGCTGTGCTTGTAATCAATCACAGAAAAATCAATCTCTGATTCTGTCTCTGTCCTGTGTGGAGAGGAAAATTCAAAAACGCGCAAGTTCCTCTCCAGACTTTTTCAAGAACAAAAAGAGAGGCAGAGAAATTTAAAACCTGGACGATTTAAAACTTCTGTCTCTCTCTGCATTTCTCTCCCTCGACCTAAGAGAAGACAGAGAGATGGAGAGCTGTGCTCCTGCTTTCAAACTTCTCCCTCCACCTTTCTGCCCTTCTTCTCTCTGTCCTTCTGGCTCTGTCATTGTCTTGGTCTGTGTTGCACCGTGGAGGCCACTGGGGAGCGCTGTTAGGATGTCTTCCCCAGCTCTATCTTCTTCTGGATGGCACGAGCTGAATGGTAGATGAGCGAGTCGATCAGACCGGCCACTGCACAGGTCAGGAGGCAGGATAAACACAGAGACACAGTTTGATTACATTTTTAATAATATATACATATTTTATTGCACAGGTAATAACACAAAGCATATGTAAATAGCACCACTGACCTGTAAATACTCCTCCAATAATGGCACAAACTCCTGTTAGGAAGTGTGTAAAGGACCTGAACAGGGAGAGAGAAATTATTTGGTATTTAGATTTGGCAAAAAATACATAATGATATCCTGGTATTCTCGCCAGCCTATCTGAAGGCTAGACCGTCCCCATTTCACAGCCTCGCACTTACAGCCTTCCCGATCTTTGAAGGACCCGGCCCACGTAGACTGTGAAGGCCGGGTCCTTCGAAGGATGCGGCCTATGAAGGCAGCTTGAGTCTTATAGATGACCTGGCAGAGTCACAATGTAAAAACTTATCGTGTTTGAAAAACGGTCAGCAATAATGAAAGCTACTGTTACAACTTGCCTGTGTTTCTCTGTGAATTTAACCATCATGGGTGACAGCTCATATAAAACAAAGACGCCTGGCAGCCCCTGGTCTCCTATTAGCCCGTTGGCCACTTTCTCGTGCCTGGTCACTGAGAACTGGTTTGTTTTTACCACCTGGTGAAAAAAGGGAAAACCGAAACACAACAAAAACCTGAGTAATCCAGGCTGTAATTTATGTGTTTGTTTGTTTTTTTTAATTAAATAACTTCTTAAAATCACATATTATGCTTTTGGTGCATTTGAAGAGTAAACATAAAGAGACAGTTCGACTAACCTCGCCGTCAGTTTTCACGTAGATGGTAGGAACAATTTTCACAAAATACTGGTACATCATCGATGCTGTGAGGAGGAACGTTTTTACCATTAAAATATGAAAGCAGTCACATTAAAAAACATAATAAAAAAATCTAGACTTCAAACCCAAACACAGCTCTATTCTATTGTCTCAGATATTAAAACAAGTGTTCATGACATGTTTTATATTTAGGACTATTTTTAATTCAGTTTACAACACAGTACAATCTGACAAACCCTAAAAACAGAGTCACACACACACAGTGAAGCTTACAAAGCTGGATCACAGCATGTCAAATAACTTCAAATGAATGCTGTGATCCAGTTGTTTGAAGAGTCCTTCTCCTGACAATATTTTTATATTTCAGCTTTGTGCCACTTCTCATCTATACCTCAGGAAATGAGACACTTTCTGCTGGCTGCTAAGATTGATTTCTGGATCACAGGCACTAAGGACAGGGAAGACCAGGAACTGCAAATCCATTATTATATCCCAAAGAACCAAAATGTTTTTTGATTAGTAAAGCTTTTTGTCAGAATCTTGAAAATTACAGGAGGGGGTTCTGTACTCAAAACATATTATTTAAATTTGGATTAAATCTACATCACAGGTTTTAAAAAACTGACCTTAAAACAAAGAAGTAACAGTGATGTGTTAAAGAACACAATAGTGTGAATGCATTCACACAATTAGCTGCTTAATGGAAATAAATGGGAAAATTGTATTAAATGTTGTAATAAAACACAACCACAGGATGGCGCTGTTTGCTCCCCCCTCCACGTTACTGTAGCTCTTTATGACCTTCCTCTATCTTTTCCTTCTTCCTCTATCTGGTTATGGAGGTCTGCTTGAAAGGCATTTAAAAGCAGCTGCGCTCAAACTCACGAGAAACCTGAAGTTTCAAATCTAAAAAAAACCCCCTCCGTTTTAAACACACAGTTAAAGGTAAGCGTGACTTCGGACTCATTCTTTTTAGAAATCACACAGTCGGTGGGACCAGGCCTCGTCTATCTGTCAAGGCCACAGGTGACGTTAGCAAGCTAGGCTAACACAACAAACCACACGGAGAGAAAAAGGTGAATTTGACAGGTTTCGCAAAAAGGAGACCACACTTTCCTTTGTTATCTTTGCTTACATAAGCGCCCTTAAACGGCAAACGTTAACACGCATGGACAAGCTAACATTAGCCTAGCATCCCAGCTAGGGAACAGTAAGTCTACGACCTGATTTGTATTAATGCGAGTCAAGGCAACAGATTAAAATGTCTTTAAGCTGTAATGGTTTTAACTTGAGTGACTTAAATTACAGATTAATCTCGGGTATGTTTTTATAATATTTACTGGCAACGATGCACAAGTGTATCCAAAAAGTCAGTAAACATACAGAAATGCGCACAGCTGGAATTGCTGATGGTAACTGCAGAGTAGTGGAACGCGTGTACAACTGGGATCACTGGGTTAACTCTGTGACCTTAAGGCAAAGAAACCCAAAACACAATGTACATAATTGTTATACTTGAATACTTTCATTCCAAAAAACTCAACAAGGTTCTTGCCGCACTTTGTGAGCTGCAATGACGACCCTGCAGTGATCTGAGATTATTTACAAGCTTCAACCTGAACATTTACCCCTGACAGCTGCTCACCTACATCCTTGCAGCTATTCTTAGATTTATATTAATGCAGTTTGCACTACTCTTATACAATCTCAATCTTTACTCTTCTTTAACACAATTTTTAGTTATTTTTGTTATCATTCTTGTGCATAAATACAATCTGTTATTATACACTGTACTATTTTTGTTATCTTGCTCTTCTAGCACTAGTTTTCTTCCTATTTTGACATAAATCAGAGGCATTGAAGCCTCTGACACCTGAATTCACAAGTAAAGTTCAAAGCCCTGGTTGTGCCACTTAAAGAATAATATTCTTCAGAAGAGTACAACCCGACATGTAATTTTCTCATATGGGGATAATATTGTTGGCTGATATTGCCAAGAAGATTACGTTTACTGACAGCGCTGGCTGAGATTTATTTCACGATGTTTACATTTTTATGGCTAACATGAGGAAAAAACATCTTGAACAGTTCATGTATTTGGGTACTGAAGTGCTTTTTCTCCTGGCAAAAAGGGGGAATGAATAGCTTTATCAGACAAAACATTTGAATACTAGAATCAGCCCTGAGTTTCAGAAATGGTAAATCATAAGTTGCAATCTAGAACTTGCATTGGTTAATCTAATCAAATGGTCAACAAAAATGATATGCTATAAGTTTTAGTAATTGTAGTGCATTTACTTATATGGCTTTGTAATCTGGAGTGTTTCTGTTGCCACTGTTTCTGCAGATAAAATAGCTAATATTGATGAAATTAGAAAATATTATAATCTCACAAGTCATTATTTGTAGACCTACCACAAGCCGCTTTTCACAGAGTGAATTAAGGATTCCAGAGGGTCTGTTTTACAATTTTTGAATAAGAACAAATACATAAGATGATAATTTATCTAGCTGGTCTTTAACCTGTTTTTTTGTTGCAATCCTCTGTAGATGCCGGTGGCTGTAGGTCCATATGGCCAGACCCAGCCAAGTTGCTTTGATCGGGTCAAAATGGGCTTCATGATGGGTTTTGCAGTAGGAATGGCTGCTGGTGCCATGTTTGGTACTTTCTCCTGTCTCAGGTAGGTTTGAATTTGGTGTGGGAACAAACTATTTATATAAGATGTAACAGTATTGTGCTGCTCTAAGTGGTAAATACAGACAGTGCATTTTGTGCATCAAGATGTTTTGCTACAATAATTGAAAACAATCTTATTAAAAATGTGTTTTATGGAATTTTTAAATTTGGTGTAAATGTTGCTTGCTTCAACTAGATGACGAAATGAAAGCTTTAACATGTATCAATCTTGGGGCTAAATATGGAGTGTCTCACTCTAGGTCAAATGAATAAAAAGTAAGACTGTTATTTCTCTCTCCAGGATCGGCATGCGTGGCCGGGAGCTCATGGGAGGAGTAGGAAAGACCATGATGCAGAGTGGAGGGACGTTCGGCACTTTTATGGCCATTGGTATGGGTATTCGCTGCTGAAGACAAGAGGAAAGACCTATATACAAATATTCAACAATGGGACTCTTCAACTATTTCCAGTCACAGCTTTCTGTCCATTCAGTGCTGCCATGTTCTCAGCCAACAGTCTAGTTTTGTCAATAAAAGTTCAAATTCGTGAAATGGTTTTCAGGGGGCATGTGATTTACTTTTTGATGCCTTTAAAACAAACAAACAATTTGTAACACAAGTAATTATATTTAGTTCAGTGACACAACAGGGAAATACTTTTTCTTATCAATGCTGGTTTCTTTCGGTTACCAGCCAACCTTCTATTTTAAACATGAGCGGAAACCTGGAAGTTCACAAATGGCACATCTCTAACCACAGTTAAGAGTTTGGAGGAGTTGATCAATTTGTCACTGAACAGTTGTTTGACAGGTTAGTCCAACTTGGAAACATTAATCTGAGAAGTAAACCCTGAATCGTTTGAGAGCAAGTGCCAGGCTGCTCCTGCTTTGATGTCAGCAGCACTATTGATATTAAAAACAAGAACTTGTATCACTCACCCTGTGGTGCTGTGACATCAGTCCCATCCAGGGGGTTAACAAGACCGGGGTAATCTTTACCAAACGACAGGTGTTTTATCAGATGGGTCATGTTTATCTGTAGAAAGAGACATTACAAGTTAGCGGATCTCAGAAATTTCTCTGAGTAACTAGAAATAAGCATAAAATTTCACTGCTGAAACAGCCAGATAGCTTGGACTGTAACATACTTGCAGTATGTATTATGAGAAATGATCAAGAAAATATGTTACTTACATTGTCCAAGCCAAAACTCTGCAGGTCGTGTACTGCAAAAGAAACAAAACCACTTTAAATCACTTACTAAAAAGTAAAAAAAATAAAATAAAATGCAAATACAGGCCATGTGTAGTAAATTAAAAAAATAAAATGTGTTCAAATCAGCTTATGTGATTGAGTAGTGCCCCTTTGCTCAGCTGTTTGACTCAATTTGTGGATGAATCTGTGGCTCCCTGGCACAAAAGTTCATTCCAGAGTTGGTAGATATCTGTCAAATACTGGAGTATCTAAAATGGGATAAATTTAGGGCACTTTTGTGGTAAGGAGGTTGGATTTAGATGGACTGACAAGCAGCAAGTTCTACAATGGCTCCACAGACAAACTCGTCACCTTTTTGGAAGAACTACAATCACACAAACAAGTGACAGCTGCACAGTGCAGAAGCTGATCAGGGCAAACTCTAAAGCAAACGCCAAAGGTTGAGTTCACCACATGCTTAGCAGTAATGTATTACCCCTTTATTGCAATTAGTACTTGTATGTGCAGTAATAAAGGTACTGGTTTAGTAAATCTTATGACAAAAAAGAAAGTAATACCTCTTCTAATTCAGAAAAGCATATTTAAAATACCTTCTTTTTTTTTCTTATACAAGCTGTAAGCCTGGTCCAGTATAATAGGTGCCATTATGTATTTGATCAATTTGAAATTTTACTTCTCATACACAGTCAGGGGACTAAAACAGCACAGAGACCAGAAATGTTAGGTCCACAGATGCTTGCCATTATTATACACAATGTAACTTGGAGCTTCGATCATCAAGCAAAGAAGAGGAGCAGTCTACAGAAGTCAAGTTATGTTGAACCTACACAATCTTTCCATTTTCAAACTTTAAAGATGATGCTGACTTAAAGGGAGCCGATTCTGCTTTATTCCTGCTCCATATGTTTTTTTTTTTCTTGGACTCTACTGCAGTAGTTTTGCATTATTTACAGTCAAAAATAATTCATCTTATACTGAGTGCAACTCCTCAGTTCGCCTTCTCTCTGAAGTTCTCCCTTCCCGCTCCCTGTAAGCCTACCTTGTTGTGCTCACAACTAAAGTAAAAGGACTATATTAGGGACATCCCCCATTTCTAAACACAAAGCCAGTAGAGGGGAAAAAAGTGAAACTGAGTGTTTAGAAGGCGGATCTTTTGTCTCACACCATTACTTGTGTGCTGACCTCATTATTTTTAAAGTTCAGCCATGTTTAATAAGAGCGTCCACCAGTGGAGCAGTATATACTGTCACACACACACGTGTATGACAGCCAATCAGAAAAGGCATAATAGGTCCCCTTAGAAGTAACAAAAGGCTTTACACAAATGCAGCCGGACTCCCCAACACCCATCAGCAACACTCCCCTTGAAATCCAACACTTGTGTTTTTAGCTTCTGCTTTTTCATCACGTTGCTTAATTATAGCATAGGTATATATATATATTCACAGTAAGTACACTGCTCAAAAAATTAAAGGAACACTTCTTTAATCAGAGAACATCATCAAGTCAGTAAAACTCCAGTTTTAGCTGCTTTGGTTTTAATGAAATTAACAACAGACACACTAGAGGGGCAACAATGACACAACATCCAAGACAAGAATGGTCTTACAGGTGGAGGACACTAGCATTTTTCCCATCTTTTTCATTTCTGACAGTTTTTTGTTATATTACTGTTGCATTTAGCTAGAGTCAGCATCACTGCTGGCAGCATGAGGAGACACCTGGACCCTACAGAGGTTGCACAGGTACTCCCAACTCCTCCAGGATGGCTCATTAATACATGCCACTGCCAGAAGGCCGTCTCCCAACACAGCCTCAAGAGCATGGAGGAGATTCCTGGAGACAAGCAGTTACTCTGGGGGACCTGGACAGGACTATAGAAGTTCCTTAACCCATCAGCAGAACCGGTGTCGGCTAATTTGTGATGAAGCAGGATGATGACAGCCAGAGCTAAAAAAAAATGACCTCCAGCATGGCACTGATCTGAATGTCTCTACCCAGGCAATCAAAAACAGGCTACCTGGCACCGTGGAGCCTGACTGGCATAAAATACCATAATTGGCAGACCCATCACAGGTGGCCTGTGCTTTTCACAGATGAGAGCAAGTACATGCTAAGCACACGTGGCAAATATGGAAAGGGCCCAGAAAAGCCACACAGAGCTCTACAGGTTAGGCAAAAACACCCTGACTGCCCTTGGGTATGAGGATGAACTCCTTGGACCCATTGTCAGACCTCATGCTGATGTGTTGGGTCCTGGGTTTGATTTTGGAAAAATGGTTGAGCCTTTTTCACTTTTGTTTTTCAGGGTGTCTTTAGCTAATGTGTTTTCCCCACATTTTTTTGAGCAGTGTTCTTCATTATGTGCAACTATTTATTGTAACAATAACCAGGCTAATAAACTGCATTAAAGCTGTTCTTCAAAAGAATAAAAAAAATAAAATCTGCAAAAAAGGATGGACTTACTTTCCACAGCGTGCACTACAGAAAAAAGAGAAAAGAGTCACAATAGTAATGCAGGTAGACAGCAAACCATGTTACATTAATGTGGTTGGGCATGTCAGTAGGGGCTGCACAACTTTGACAAACTGAGTTTTTATGCTTAATATTTTTAGATTTATAGCATTAAGAAACTAATAACTTAACTCAGGCAATGAAAACAAGCTCTTTGTGTTTGTGGTTTGGCTGTTTAGGAGTATTAAAAGCTTAACTCCATTATACATTTTGATTTATAAGCTTGAGATTTACAGCACAAAAAAATATCCAATTGAGGAGGATTATATTTGTCAGCTCTAAAAGGTTTGAGCCCCTTGTGATTTAGAAAACAGTTTGTATCCTGTCGGAGTAATTGTGCAGTCCCAGACACACACAGTACAGAGGGTTTAAGGTCAGTCCAGGCTGGAGATGATTTGGGACCAGAGTAAGGATGAAGCTGGTTTATTTCAGCCACAGCCTCGCTTACAGTCCTCAAGTGATTCTTGTCTCTTGTTTCTTCTGATAAGCATTTAATATTACACCGTTGAGATTCAGTCATGATCTCACATTAGCAACTTAAGAACAAAGGTCAGTGTTTTATGTTCCAGATAGGAAACTAAAATCAACAGTGGAAAGTGCAGTAAAACGTCAGCTTCCTTCACTGTTTTACCAGCCAGCCAGGTTTTTACTAAAACACATTCTTTATACTTTTAAATTTGGTATTCAGACAGTTTTAGAGTCAGATCAGAAGTAGTGTTGTGGCAGATTTGCCAAATAAAAATAAATGTTTTTAGCATGTGGTAGCTGGCTACTGTTAATTTCCTGCTCTGGTACTCCATGAGGTCTAAGTCATCAATGAGAATAAGAAATGCCCTAACCCACTGTTATTGTGTCTTAGCTGAAGATGTCCAACTTCCACATCCTGATAGTACACATAAGCAATTTTACTAAATGAACCAGTCAAAGCATAAATAGCAACAAGTGTCTTAGACCTCATGGGGTGACTGTACATATGAGGGAAACATTTAGCAGGCAGACAAAAAAAAAACAACAACTTCCAGTCACAATAATGAGCAAAATGCATACACAATGATGGCAAACACAACAGAAACACAAGGAAGAAATGAATAGAAGGAATAAAAATGTAGACAAACACTATGTGAGAGGTAAAATGATGAGAAAATTGCACTTTGGCTGAAATAAACTTGCTACGAACAGTTCAGAACAGCTTTGTTAGCTCCAGAAAAAAACTTTGGTTTATCTACAAACTCAAAGTTCAGCTATCTTCTAAAGAGAAACCTCTGAGTACAGAATATGACCCCCATCAAGAAACACTGCAGTCAGCTTTGTAAAACCTGATGTGGGTTCAGTCAAACTCCCAGGCAATGCATGAAAAACAACACGAATGACATGCAGTGTCACTCGTACCTCTTTCCATTAATTGCAAAGCACGAATAACAGAATGTATTGTTTTCTGCCTGTGAAATCATAAAACCTTTTCAAAATAAAAGACTGAAGATTTCAGAACTTAATGGATTTTAGATAATATAACACACTGACCATTGCCTTTTTCAAAAAAAAAAAAAACCAGCCTAAATTTACATTTTGTATCCGCTGACCGGTGAGTCCGTGTCTCAGATCCTGTATTGGTACAGGATCAGCTGACTGCACTGTAGCAATCCCAGCTACTGTATGTCAAAATCTTCATCACTGAGCTAAAATCAGTATTCTCAACAAAGCAGTCTGAACAGTGACAAATTGCTGTCATATTTATTTCACAAGTAATAAATACTAAAGCCAAAATGATTTATATTTATTGTTATTATTTTACATTTTTCAAAATGTAAAATAATAAGCAAGCTTATTGTGCATGATTTTCTGTTTTTAATGAACAGATTTAGATGTGTGGCTCAATGTGGACATTTGATTGATGGATGGCTGGATAAATGAATAAATACAGACAGAGAGACTGATGAACAAACATACCCATCAAAGGTTTATAAACACCCTTATGATAGCGTCGTAAACTTGTCTGCTAGTCACTCCAAATTTATTTGGAAAAATATAGTCACAGTGATTCTTTCTGTTTAATTTAGATGTTGTTCAACAGCGCAGTGATGAAATCCAGGTGAAACACTCCAGACTACAGTGTTCGTCTCAGATCACTGCTGAATTGTCTGTGATAAAATATGTTGGGTGTCTTTGCCTATAGAAACATCAATTCATCAAAAAGCTTCTTATTTAGAAGCTTTGTGCTCATCTTAGATGCCAACAGTTCTATAGATTCTGGCTTTTTAAAGGTATTTTGGGCTTCTGACTATAATTACATACAAAGCTCTGCCAATTAGTAAAATAAAAATAAACTAAGGGTGTTAAAAACCTTTGGTTAGGTGTGTCTGTGAGCTGAATGGAGTGGCAGCTTACCGTGGACATGAGACTGCTGGAAACTTTTTCCTGGAGCGAAGTGGAAATTTCCTGCCACCTAAAGCATAAAAAACCCCACCACAAAACATGAGACATATGTATACATAGATATATCCATTTATTAAATTCACTTTGATAAAAATGTCAAGTGATAGCATTGCAAAGGAGTTTTTGTTTAAACCGCAGTTACATTTATAACATATTATTCCTGTTAAACTCTTTCTTGCAAAAACGCTACAAAAATAAAAAAAAAAATTTCAATATTATCTTGTTATATTTTAACTTTGCTCAAAGATCATCTCAGATCATCTTCCACACAGTGGTCCCAATAACAGGGCACAACATTGCTGCATTAGGCAAATAAGGCCAGCTTATGACTGAAACTGGTGCTCAAGGAAACGGCGAATTAAAAGCCACAGACAAATAAGAGTGACATTTACTTATGTAAGTCTATTAAAAACTTTCAAAACAGTTTCTTCATAGGCTGGAAATTCTGGATCTTGCAATACAAGAACCAGCTACGTCAACATAAAGTTACACAGTTGTGTATCATTCTGAGACTTTCTGAGTTGTGTCATCCCAGGTATGACATACTACTGATGACTACTCATCTCAGTAGTATTCTCGTTCTGAACACTGGATGTCCTCCCGAGAGATAACAAGCCTGCTGATCTTTGACAGCCCTGCCATGTTATTAAGGATGACGTGTAAGACTTCATACCTTGTTGACTTCCAGGAAGCCGTAAACCTGACAGCCTTCATTCTTCTGCTCCTGCATCTTCTGAGTGAAACCCTCTCTTTTACATTGCTCGATGGTGTCTGCACTCTTGAACGCCCAGCCTCGCCGCCGATACGCTTCGCGCACATCATCACAGGTGTTGCAGCATCTGGACACACACACCAAGAAGAACCAAGGCGAGTCAACACAGGGTCATACAGTAAACAGAGTAAACAGAGACAGAAAGAGCAGCCTGTGTTTGTGTCTTACTTGAGATCTTCAGTTTCAGCTCCGTAGCAGCTCTCGCATCTGTCTGGGTCCAGCGTGCTGGGATCAAACACTTCGCCATCATCAGCCTTACCGAGCTCTGAACAATAAAACACAAAATAATCATGATGATTAGCAGCCAAACAACATCCCTACTTCAGCACATAACTCTGAGGAAGATAAACCCTTTCTAAATTACATAGTTGTGTGTTTTTTATATATATATATATATGTCAGTAAAGAGACCCAATATCCTGTCAGTAATGCAAATATGACAATATTATAAAAAATATAAGAAATGCTCTTTTTGTACAGATTCTTGTCATCTTCATATATTTGTATTTTGAGGTTAATAATGAGACCACATAAGCAAAGTTACAGATGAAACTGACAAATATTTCCAATTTTCTATAGATACTGCAACAATATTGTTAGTCAATTCTTTGACCATGATCATCCTCAAGTTGAAATCTGATATCAGAACAGACCTGAGCAGCATCTAAGCAAAACAAAAGGTTCAACTGCTCCCATATTATAAGAGCCACAAACAGCTTTTAAGTAGCGGTGCGTCCTGCATTCACAGTATTGTTGACTGAGGTCTTCTATAGAAGAAATACATATGAGCTTATACATCAAAGAACTGTAAGACACTCTCTTTGTAAATCATTTTCAGAATGCTTTTATTCTCCTGGCACAATAAAAAAAAAGAAACACTCCCAACAAGTTTCACCATGCATTTCTTTATCTGGGAATTAAAAACACTCCATGCAAACATTTTTCCCAAGTGGTGCTTCCCCAATTGGAATCTTTCATTTTTAGTGTTCTGCCAATAACAAACATCCACCTTAGCGAGAGTGAAACAGTCGACCAATGATGCTCCATTAACAGGAATTTCCCAAAATTCCCCACAGTCAGTGGTGCTTTCTATACTAGAATGCCTAGAAGCGACTTGACTTCTGGATTTGTGAGCATACGTTTCTTAATTTTCTTAGGGAGTGACAAAACTATAAAATTCCTCAATATTTCTGACTCTGGAAACATTAATAAGTCACAGATCGTACGTGTGTATCAGTGATGCATGTTGATCACTGGAATGTTTTTATGTTTGAGAAGCAAAAAAAATAAGCAGGAAAATGGAACGAGTTTGCTGACTCATCGTCTGTTTTAAAACTATGCCCAGAGAATTTTACAATGCAGAGGCTCTGCAACAAGAAAACAAGCGAACAAACAAAGGAAAAAACTGAACAAAAACCATCTAACAAAAAAATCATCACATTATTTGTTAATCCACTGCGCTGCCAAACCAAATATGCACACCTCCACACGCTGTCCAATCTGCTGAGCAGTATCAGCACCTTAATGGTGAGCGTAACATCAGCTTTTACCGTGCTTTTCTGCCTCCTGGGTGACAGGTTTGAGCTCTTTGTCCAACCGCTGTTTGAACAGATTGTGTTCAACGTCCAGCTGCTGCTCACCAGCCACGTCCATTGCATCTATACTAAGATCTGCCAAGAGAAAAAGCAGATGTAGGTCTTTATCATTAACATATGTTATGATTAGCATGCTAACTTCATCAGTCTGGAGCTTCTTGAGAAAAGAGAACTTACAGGCACACGGCATGTGAGGGAAAATAATATCGATGTTGATTTTGAGTTTGTCTCCCCGTGACGTGTCGACGTACAGCTCAGGATGGACCTGCCGGGCACAGGTGATTGTTAACTTAGTCATCCACGTAAAACAGAAACACCAGTAAAAACAAACGTATTTAATCAGTCAGGGAACAATTTATCTCTGATGCTTTTTGTTTTTTTAAACACCAAAGAAACAGAAAGTTAGTCTTCATTTCTGCACTAAACACAGTAGAGTTTCTGAGAAAACCCTGGAAAAAAATTGTTTTTGTTTGTCCTTCACACTTGTGTGTGTAGACTTTTAGTCTATTTCACTGTTTACATGTGCAGACTCATTAGAGCAGTCTAACAGGTATTTCAGGCCACCTTTATCACCACAGTCTGTACCTTTAATCATCGGGAGAAAAAATTAACACAATCAGGATCTTGGAAACCACGTCATCAGTGTCAGTTAACTGGTATCAGAGGAAACCAGATTTATGATTATGGTTCTTTGCAGATAATAAATATGGATTCATTCATAAAGGAAATTTAATTGGAAATTTACTTTATCAAGGAGAAATAAACTGAGACACTGCACTAAGCCCCAGTATGAGACTTAAGTTGTCTGCTGTAACCAAAAGTATTCGTTTGGTATCATATATGAGAACAAGAACAAAAATAATCATCATATTTAGAGACAAGGCAGTAAATATTTTCTTACATTTTACTGAAAAGATTTAGCTCTAGTTCTAGAATATTATCTAGAATTTGCACATTCAAAAATAATTGTGAAATTTCTATTAATGAATTTTCTGACATGTTTGCTTAGACCACTGGCCTGCACATGTAGAAGCTCAGAAACAAGTGTAAAAAAGCAGATTTGGAACTAAAACCTGTTATTTTTTACTTTGTGTGCCAGGTGTTGGGTTTAATTTCACAGGGTGGAGGATGACACCATCTAAAGAGGACATCAAAATAAAGTGGATAAACTCACCTCTTTAGTCAGATAGTATTGCAACTCAGAGACAAACAGGATTAGCATGATGACACCACTGATTATAGTCACTGCAGAGACAGAGGAAGTATGCATTTTAACACCACACAATATCACATTTCTGTATAATGAGAAAACTCTGAACTATAACCAAGTGAGTACATGAAAGGAATAAGTGTACAACAATAACATGGAAAAGAAGCAGCATTATTGTTACTTGTACCTTCTTTTCAAAAGTAATCTAATATTCATATATCACCTAATTCTGGCATATACAGACTGCATATATACATACATAATATGGCACTAATAAGTTCATAGTGGCATCACTGAATGACACGCTGGGTCAACAGTGAGTCAGAACTGATGCTCCCAAATGCTCTTTTTTTCAAGGATCATGTTCTAACTTTCCCTAAATCTAAGCAAGTAGTTTCCAGTCCCTAAATCTGAATAGCAAAAGCAAAAACAGTTTGAAAATCAAATGAATTAGCAATTGAGGAAAAACGATGAAAGTGGAAAACACAAAGGTCCAAATGTGAGCCGAACCTCTGTCTACTGTGATTCTTATGTTTGACACCCCTGGTTTAGATGATACAAATACATCCCTCTTCTTCTTCCATATTCACAAAACAATGTGTTTTGACAGTCATTTAACAGTCACCAGTTTAAAAAAATCCCTAGATTATAAATAACAATAGCCCTGTTGGAAGATCAAAAAGACTAAAAAGTCTACTATACCTCACATTATTTATAAACCATCCTCTACACAATTTTAGTTCCTACCAAACTACACAATACTGTTGTAGTTCACACATCATGATAACAAGACTGTCTCTAAGCAAATGTCTGCATACGGCGCTGTAATAGATATGTTGTATATAACCTTTCTAATGATGCTTGTCCCATCTCTTATGTTATTGTCATCATAGTATAATTAATTTAGTTCAAGCCTTTTCACGTCTGTTTTTACCTCTTGAATTCCCTCTCTCGAATTAAGTTTTACTCTATAAAAACCACAGGAGAATGATTACAAACTAGTCAACAGTCTTGTAAAATCATGAAAAATCCCCAACAAGTCCTTCACAAAAAGCCTGTGACACAAACTCCTCAAAATGTGTGATTTTAAACCGGTTTCTCTACATTTGCACCCACACTTTATGCTCAACTGTTCTTGAGCTAGCTGCATCGCTACTCTGTTATCGGAAATGTAAATATTACAGACATCTATTCTGCTTGATTTCAGGCTTCCCTTGAGTTGCCACAGGCATGCTAATACTGTAACTTTATTCATGTGTACTGTATTTGAGCACTGATAGGAGAAATGAAGCAAATAGCTTTGTTGTTAGCCGCTGCAGCTAACAGGCTGTATGTATGAATGGCTGCTGCTCTGTGACAAATTAAAGCCTCTCACCAGTCGCCCCTCCCCACGTCTTCACTCGGAAATCCTCCAGAGTTTTAGGATAAGCGTCAAACTGCTTCAGTTTATTTAACGTGTCCATTTTCTAAACCTCCAATCACCCGCTACAAAAAATGTTACCGACAGATTCCTTCAGACACACACACCAGCCCTCAACTTTCACTTCCGGGACACGCGAGGGGCAAGCTTAGGCCAATCAGCGTCGGCCGCGTATTTTTTTTCTTTCTCCTTGCGTTCCTTGTTTTCTTCATTCAAAGGTCTACCTGTGGACACGCTGGTTTACATACAGTTGCATACATTTTACAACAATAATCACCTTTGTGGTGATTATCAGTAGTTACATTTAAGGCTATTGGCAATCAACAACTGCATTATAATTAACACCAGTAATACATAAATAAATAAGAAAGAAATATTAACGATTCATTAATACAGAAGATATCAAGAAATTCATTATTTATTTGACTGTGGCCAGTTATTTGTAATTTTTTATGCTTTGATACTTTTTGGATATTTCCCACATATGTTGATACTTATTCATACTTGTTTCAGGTGATGTATCAAATGTCAGGCACCAGAAAGAGCTTGTATGTTTTTGCAGTTCATGTCTGGGTTCAGGCACAGCACTGTGGTTTCAAGTTACTCAGTGGCTCTAATTTGGCTTAAGGCGTAAAAATGCTGTCTCACTTTGTTAGTCCAGTGTTGGACTGGTGGATGGTGACATGTCCAGGTTGTATGCTCTTAAATGCCTGTCCCTGAATGGGTTGAAAAAAACTGAGAAAGAGCCTAAATTATTGATCGTATCTCCAGACTCCCCAGAACCAAATCCAGTGGTGCATCTTTTGAGGTGGAACAAGCTCAATCCATACATCCTACAACCCAGAGAACCCAAAAGATCAGTGCCCACATCGTAACATCAGATACAACACTCCAGAGTCCTGGGTGAGAGCTATTTTGGCTGAATGACAGAGGCCCAGCTTCACTGTTACGCAGTCTTTCACCACCAATAAGGTGGCAAACCTGCTCAAGTCACATAGTTAACTGTTCCTGTGAGACACAGTAGGGATGGGAAAGAGACATATTAATAGTAGGTGTTGCAAAAGTCAAAATCTGAGCTGGAAGCACTACAAAAATTTCATGCTTGAGTGTGGACATAGTTACTCAACATTTGAGGATTTGTGGAAGAGGTGCAGTGGTGAGCACTGTTGCCTCATAGCAAGAAGGATTAAGGTTATAACAGTTTGCATGTTCTCCTTGGGGGTTGCAGATGCATGGGTTTTCTCTGGATGCTACCAAATTTCAAAGACATGTTAGGCTAACTGGTGAGTCTCATCTAGATAAAAATGTTCAAAGCGATGCATAGTCAAAGTAGCATTTAGTAAGGAGTATTTTGAGCTCTCAGTAAGCACAAAATATAAATGCTGGCCCATTGCTGCAAATGTGCTAAAGTAAAGATTCACAGTGCAAAAAACAAACAAACACAAGACTCAGTAGCCTAATCGTTTTTAATCAAAATGTGCATTGCTAATAAAATAAAGACCTATTTACACAGTGAGACACAATAAGATTGTACAGAGACAGCATTACACAGACCGATCTACAGCAGATCTCACTAAACATTTTTACTTCCAAATCTCCAGAATGTCAAACATTATATTTTATCAGTATGTTCAACTTGAGGAATTTATTTTCAGTGCCAAAAAACAATTACCTGTATTTGTACCACTAACTGAGATAAAACAGTGCGAAACAACTCTGACATTAAGTTGTCTCCATTTTTTTTCACTGTCATGTTTTTGAACAGAAGAAAGACAAAAGACAGAACCTGGAAGAAACTGATGATGTGTGGAGCAGTAGAACAGAAAATCCTGCATAAGAGCAGGAACAGAAAAAGTCCTTAGTCAGCCTTCTTTTTCTGCCTCAACCTGAGAGAGGAGCTCTCTGTCACCTCGCCTGCCCAGCCTGACCTTCAGATGACCAATGACCTCATGTCCGACCCCGAGGTCAGCCACAGCTGTCTGAACCAGCTGCAGTCGGGTTTCTCTGAGCGAACGCCTCAGTTTGGCGCGTCGATTTTGAAACCAGATCTGAGAGAGAGAGAGAGAGACTGGGTTATTCTAAGTGGACATTTGATATTTTCTTAAATATACACACATATATTATATGCACTAAGTCTGCTAAATACTGATACCCTAAACACAAAGCCCCAGCCTTAAAAAAGTAACTACATGACACAGAAACTTATTTTGCAACAGTTAAGATAGTTCTGCTTGGTACTGTTTATTAAAACACTTTTCAACAGTGCAGACATGGTATTTCTCATTTTCATAGTTCTGATAGTCTGGGTAAAGATTCAGTTCAGTTGGTTTAGTTGCCGCTCCTCCCTGAGCCTGGTTCTGCTGGAGGTTTGTTCCTGTTTGAAGGGAGTTTTTCCTTCCCACTGTTGCCAAAGCACTTCCTCATAGGGGATCATATGATTGTTGGGGTTTTTTGTTTTCTTTGTAGTATTGTAGGGTCTTTACCTTACAATATAACACTCGTTGAGGCAACTGTTGTGATTTGGTGCTATATAAATAAAACTGAGCTCAATTGAATCTAATTATTTATCAACTCCAACTCTAACATGGCAGATGGCACAGGACTATGTGAAACTTAAGCACACACATCCAGATCTGTTTTCTAACATGTAGTGTTTAAACCTCACAGCTGACCTATAAGACCTGCAAACAGTTTGATGGATGAAATCTAAGGAGTTTCAGGGGAAAAGCACAATCACTGGGTCCTGAAATTAAATATAGTAGCAGCAAGGACAGGGAATGACAAACGTGAAGTGGTAGTACATTTGGTTTTTCAATATTCTGTATGAAGCTACCTGTATTCTGTCCTCATCCAAGCTGAGTCTCTCTGCCAGCTGTTCCCTCAGCTGAATACCAGGATAACAATTCACCTGAAACACTGTCTCCAGTATATTCACCTGGGAGGATGCACACAATGATATTAACCCAGGAAAAAACCTGTATTTCCTCCTATAATAGATGGATGTCGTGATTACTGTATCATAATTGAACAGAATTATTGAAGAAGTGGCTGATAAACTGATTACCTGGCTGGTGGTAAAGGCAGTGCGTGGTCTGCGTCCGATATACCAGTTTGATGTCGGCTGGGAGTTTAGCTGCTGCTGTTGTTCTCTGTTCTCGCTCTCCACATTATTTTCTGGTTTAATGGAGAAAAATAAAAGAGCATTTCACATTAATGCGGCAATTATAATCAAACGCAACATTTAGGCAGCATTAAGCCAAATTCTAAAAGTAACACTGGAAGTAAGATTTACTTTTCACACTGATGAATCTTACAAATGCAAAATATGAAATATATAATTTAAGAAAAATTATGTAGATAAATGTAACATAATAAATTATGCTTTACTTTGGCTTGATTTTGAGTTTTGTGTAATGAGCCAGAGAAAGCTTAGTTTAGTGGGTTACTTCCAGTCTGTTGCCACTGCTCAACTGTAAAATAAAAATGAAACCTGGTATGAGGGACAACAAGAAAGGAACAAGCAGGAGAACAAAGAAAGACATGAAAGAGAAGAAAAATGCATGTTCTTCAAAAGCAATGGATTTAAACATAGACTAATAAACTCAGTTTGTTTCCTGTACAGCAATCGGACATAAGGAATCGCCCCCAATCAGGTTTTAAAAAAATACTGAAAGTGTCAGACTGAAACACTCAAAGTTTAGTATCAACTGGAGGATGTTATGTTACAAAAATTACAGACTGAGCAGTTTTATAATGACACAAACATGAATCAATGTTGTGATTCAGTGTAATCTAATTGCAATTTTTTCTACAAAAAAAACCAGACAAAAATGAACCTTTAAACCTAAACTTTAATATTACATATGATAACTGGTTTAGTTTAGATTTTTTTGTTTTTAAATGCTTTGGAAATCATGTCGTATTACAGACCAGAGGTTAGCACTTCATCAGTAACAAACAGACTACCCATTACTAACTCTTCAGACCTTTTGTTCCTTACCTGCCCAGGGTCGGTGGAGTTTCAGGCAGTTTCCGGGTCTTTCCAAACCCAGAATCCGATCAATGGAAAATGCCAGCCTGCTTTCAACTGTCACAAACGCCATAATGATTACTCTGACTTATAAACAATCCTGAAAGCCGAGGGCCCCCGGCCTGCAAACAACAATCTTATGTCGTTGTAAAGAAAGAACGAATCCAAAAATCAAGCAGTAGTTGATCGCACTGTGGTCCTTTAGCCCTGTAGTCTAAAATAAACTGAAGAGGCCAGTGCCTGTTTTAGTCTGAGGTGCATGAAGCAGCAGGACAACAAACTGATGACTGCTGGTTTAAATGGGAATGGGAGGTTTACAATGGTCACCAATTAGAACTAAGAAGTCCTTTTTTCCATGTGAATAAGATTCCCCGAGGTTCCACATAGGAGCTAATCTCAGCTAATTGTGTCTGTGTGACCTAAAGACAGCATAAATATTTAACTCCAGTCAAATACAAGACGGAAAAAGTATTTGCAAAATTCACAGGAAACAAAAACAGCTCATCTGACAGCATTTGTGCAAATGTGTAAGTTTCTCTCCCAGATGATAAACTGTATGAGTGTATGTGTGAGATTAGGTTGGGAAGTCTTTTTTTGAAAACTGCCACCATGAAACAAATACAAAGCAACACTGACTCCTTTTCTTCTAAATTAGCAAAGTAGAAAATCAGTTTAGTTTTCACAGTAAAAAAAACCTACATCCTTCTGTTACAAGACTGAGGCAGAAGTTAAACTAATAATAATGATAATGATAATAATGATCCAGTGAGATCCACTAATGCTATTAGCTTAATCTGTTTGTGTTGTGATGCAGATGAAGCTCGTAGTGTCTGAATGCAGTCTGAATCAGCAGGCAGGAAACCCTTTTCAGAAACAGCTTAGCTCCTAATGAAGGCCTAGGGCAGCTTTAAATCAACAGCACACTTGTTTGTTTATCCATGAATGAAAGGTGGGACGGATGTGACTACATGCAGAGAGAAAAGCCACTTAAACTAAACCTCAGTGTGACTGTGGCCGTAGAGTTGAAGCAATATTTCAACATTACTTATCACAAGGTCGGGGACAAAAGAAGAACACCTTCCTTGGCTTTGTCCAAATTTAA